GATCGGATGCTCTACAGCCGCTGAAGATAAGCAAAAAAAATAGAAGCAGATCTAATTTTTTTTTTATATATATATATAATCAAACCGCCCCGGTTCAACTAACCCGGAACCGGTTCGAACGGTTCACCGGTTGAACCACCGGTTTCACCGGTTCTGTGAAAATACACCGGTTTTTTCATTTGACCGGTTTTAAGGGGTCAACCGGACCGGAATCTCACCCGGTCACCGGTTCAACCGGTTGAACCGGCCGGTCCGGTCCGGGTTTCAAAACCTTGCTCGTAACATTGAGCTTAATTATACTAGATATCTAGCAGTACTTGAAGGATACTGTGATGCTAATTGGATATCGAATACTAGAGACTCAAAATCCACCAGTGGGTGTATCTTTACTCTTGGTGGGACAGTTGTATCTTGGAAATCTTCCAAACAGACTTGCATTGCTAGGTCTACTATGGAATCAAAATTATAGTTTTAGATAAAGCTGGAAAAGAAGTAGAATGGCTTCGCCACTTCCTTGAAGATATTTCAATGTGGCCAAAATCGGTGCATGCTATATACATACATTGTGATGTCAATCAGCAATAGATTGAGCACAGAGTCATATGTATGACGGTAAGTCGCGACACATTCGTCGTCAACATAACACCGTAACACAACTACTATCTAATGAAATTATTTCCATTGAATATGTGAAGTCTAAAGATAACATAGCGAATCCACAAACCAAATGGTTAGCAAGAAAGTTAGTTGAGAATTCATCGAGGGAAATGGGACTTAAGCCTATTAAATAAGAGTTACCACAATGGAAACCCAATCTAATTGACTGGAGATCCCAAGATCTAGGTTCAAAGGGACAACCAAGTTGTGTATGACTCACAAGGATCACTGGAGAGTCAAACTCCTACCCATTTCTTTGATGAAATAGTGATATTTGCAGCGTTTTAGGTTAAGTAATACTTTTAATGATTCTTATATCTAGGATTACCTAGTAGAGTATGGTAGGATACTCTTCATAAGATTCGCCTATGTGAGTATGAACTGAGCCGGTTCTATGAGATTTGTGAAAGGCTACAATTCTTTAGAGTACTCTTGAAAGACCAGGTTGTTTAAGACCAAAATGAACACAATAGTGATAACTATATTGTGTTTGGTAATATACTGTGTGAGTTCTATTGTCTTGGTTTACACAAATGGCTGAACAGTTCAAGACATCATGTTCACTAGTTATCTAGTACATCCGATAGTGTCTCACAAGGGAAGGTTCAAAGCCAAAACCTACTTATCCTTTGTAGAATATTTCTAATTTCTATACTCTCTGTAATTAGATTATGTTATTTCATTTTCTCTCCATCAAATTCCATTCATGCGGGGGATTGTTGGAATTTATGGTTTTTATAGGCTTATTTTGGGCTAACTTTGAGCCGAAAATTGAGTGGGTCCCACACATCTTTTACAGTGGGTCCATAGAGGTGACGTGTTCCTTGTCTCATAGCAAGTCACACGGTGAAGATGGTTCGTCAAAACCATTTATGAGTGAATGGGAAGTTGACGTCGTTTTCGGGTTCGTAGAATAAGAAATTGAAGAAGTAAAATGTGGCTTTCTTTGAAATGGTTATCCAACATTGGAAACTTAAGAGAACTTATGTGTGTGTATAGGTTCTAAGTGGCAACACCTGGGTTGGGCCCCAAGGAGCACCCCAAGTTTGTAAAAAGAAAGAATTATGGACAAAGTGAACCTTGGCTCAAACTATCACACTCGCGCACGTCGCCACCGTCTGACCGGACGTGGGCGTGGGTGTGGGTTGTGGGTCGGGTTGGTTTCAACATTAATTTTTTGGACAAAATTTATTTGAATTTTTTCAAATTCTTGTGAGAAAAATTATTTAAATTTCAGAACGAAATTAATTTAATTTTTGCGCCAAAACTTTTCTATCCAAAACAAGCCTCCACCGGTCCAATTTCCAACAGATTTGAAACTACACAGTTCGGACAGATTCATACAATTCCAACAGTTCAGACAGATCAAATAATTCTAGCAGATCTATTGAAATTTGAATTGCACCTGTTCATTTCAAAAACTCATCTGTTCGGTATGAAAATCAAACCTGTTCAGTCCTATAAATACCAAGATATTCTAGCAGATTTCTACATTTCGAAAATCTGTTTTTTTTTCCCTTCTTTTATGCTCTTTTGCATATATATTCTATATATTATTTTAGGAAAATTTCTGAAAGTATAGAACACAGGTTTTTTGTTCGCTGTACAAATTGTTTGGAGTGCTACTACAATTTGTGAAGATTATTGTATCCTGGGAGATAGACGTCATTTATCCGTAAGCACCGTAGTGGGGCGAATATGTCTTAAGGACAGAGTGTCACACACTTAACTTGATCTATTTTGTATTTTTCATTTCGATAAATAAATTCAGTAAGTAATTTATTTTATTTGTTTGATTTGGTTTCAACTTATTTATTTTACATAGAAGATTGTTCCAAAAATTTGTTTATGTTTTTTTTGCTTATGCCTACTAAATTAATGAAGTTTTTGGAGTTTGGTTGAAGCAATTGTGAAGGATTGAAGTTATTGTGGAGTTTAATAAGTAGATTAACTTTTTGAACTTTAGGATTGTTTGTGGACTTTGATTAATTTTTCAGAATTTTTTTTAGAACCATGTTAGATGTTGAACTTAGTTTAACTTTTGAACTTTTGGATTGTTTGTGAACTTTGATTAACTTTTCAGAACCTTTTTTTAAAACTATATTAAATGTTGGATGATGTTATGTTTTTTAATATTTATTACCTTGTTAAATTGCTATTGTATAATTTGTGTAGAGTGTTGGATTTTTAGTTTACTAGTTTGTTAATGTTTAATGTTATATTAGATGAAAATTTTAATTTTGACTATTTCAGTTAATTTATAAATTAGATCTTTTTACTCTTTGATTTAAGTTTTGTAATTTTAATTATATTTTTTTATAAACTGCCAATCCACCGGAACTGCCAAGGCAAATCCATCATTATTTGCCAACCGAACCGCTGATTTTTGGTAAGAAAAATGACAAATTCTAATGACATTTTTATCAATCTGCCACCCGCCATACGGTTTCTATTTTTCTCCTAAATCACACCGACCCGCACTATAGCGACCCCGGTCTTGTGTTGGATTTTTAGTTTACTAGTTTGTTAATGTTTAATGTTATATTAGATGAAAATTTTAATTTTGACTATTTTAGTTAATTTATAAATTAGATCTTTTTACTCTTTGATTTAAGTTTTGTAATTTTAATTATATTTTTTTATAAACTGCCAATCCACCGGAACTGCCAAGGCAAATCCATCATTATTTGCCAACCGAACCGTTGATTTTTGGTAAGAAAAATGACAAATTCTAATGACATTTTTATCAATCCGCCACCCGCCATACGGTTTCTATTTTTCTCCTAAATCACACCGACCCGCACCGCGCACACCCCTAACCGCAACTATAAAATCACCACTTCCTATTTATTAAAATATGTCAACATATTACTATTAAAATATAATTTTTATACAAAATGATGTGTTCCAAAATTGCCTCATCATTCTAGGGAGGAAAAAAACTAACAATTTTGATTTATAATTTCAACAAAGCCATCCCGATATTATTTTAGAAAAAAATAATAATTTTGAGCTTGTATCCTAATAAATTTTACTATTTTTGATCTCATATGTGGACACAAAAAATAGGCACGTGTATGGCTTATTCACTTTGTTTGGGATGATCTAAATAAGTACACTTTTTGTCTTTTTACAAAAAGATGTACAAAAAAGTAGAGAGGTGATGTGATGGAAAAAAGATAAAAAGATGGATTATTTAGGGAATGCCAAACCAGTCCTTACTTTGGTTTCATTTTGAAAATTTATTATTTGAAAAATTCAAAAATGAAAAACTAGGAATATCACTAAATTGTATGTGGTGACATATATAAGCACTTAATTTTTATCGACTTATTTTATTTCAATAATATTAGGAATATAAAATAAAAATACTAAATAAATCACAAAAAGTTTATTGATATATTGTTTAAAGTTTTATTACTTGTAAATTCCGTCACAACTGAATTAGATACCAGCATCAATTATTTATTTTTATTTTTATTTTTGTAAATTATTATATATTGTAGACATTGTTGATTTTATTTGCATAATATTTTTAATTTATCACACATGGTTTTACAATTTAAAAACGTTACAATTAGAGTATCTCCTATCCTCAACAAAATCCTTCATCAAATTAAATTTGATGAGAATTTTAATAAATATGAGATTTAATCCATTCATCAAACTTCAATCCATTTAAAATTTCACCAAAATTTTCATGAATGAATCAAATCTTTCATTAAATTTCATACAACTATTTTTTACTTAAATATGATCAAAATGTTAAAAGATAAAGAATTTCATATTAATTTTTTTGCACCATAATTTGTTAAAGAATGTTTTTGGGATAGAATAAAGTAGTTTTTTCAATTTAATAAAAATAAAAATTTTGATTCTCACTATTTGAGTGAACTATATTAAGGCCAAGTTTGGCTACAAACAAAAAAGTGCACTTATTTCATCTTTTTATCTTTTTTGGGTCACATCAATCAACATCTCCTCTCTACTTTTTTTACACATAATACAAAAAAAAGTCAAAAAGTACACTTATTTAGTCTTTCCAAACTAGGCCAAAATCAAGCTTTTAATTTAACTTATTGAATGAATTTGAAAAAAAAAATGGAAAAAAACAAAAAACCATTTTCCAAACTATTCTGATGCGGGTGAGAATATTGACTGAAGGTCGTCTTTATCCAAACCCCCCATAATTACACACGTGACATAAAACTCTCGTTCCAGTACTTCCTTTAAATTCAAAGTCGATTCCTCTCTCAAGTTGCACAGGAACTTTCCAAGAAAGTAAAGCTAAATCCAGAAAAATAGTTAAAGAATTCCCAATTGGGAAACATGAATCCAAAAGATGTAAACCAAGTTCATGAACCAACTTTTCCAAAACCAACCCATCAACCCCTATATAAACTTCCCCACCCCAATTTTTTTCCCCAAACCACTCACTCTCTTTTGCGTTCTCATCATATCTTCCTATTACACTCACTCAACTCAAACTCTATACACCCACGATTACACTTCCATTTGTATACACATACGCTAATAATGTGCGCAGAAGATGATTTTGATGCCAGTTTCGCTCTCATGAAGTCGATAAGTCGTCACTTGCTTGGTGAGTTTGAAGCTCCGTCGATTAACTCCGGCGATAACCCCACAGACTACTGCTGGGTTAACGACTTGTTCCCTTGTATCATCTAATCCTGAAGGAAGAGCTGCCTCTGAAGGAGAACCAGTCGGAGGACATAGTTTCGCTTCCAACTCCAGCGGTGGCGACCACCGCCACTGTTACCGAAATCAGTAACTTTTCGGAATCTGTTGCGCTACCTGAAACGACGGCGGTGGAGTCGAAGGGGTGGCGATACAGGGGAGTGAGGAGGCGGCCGTGGGGGAAGTACGCGGCGGAGATTAGGGATCGGGCCAAGAATGGGGCTAGGGTTTGGCTGGGGACCTATGAGACGGCGGAGGACGCCGCCGTGGCCTATGACATTGCGGCGTATAAGATGCGCGGGTCACGTGCGCTTCTGAATTTTCCGCTCCGGATTAATTCGGGTGAGCCGGAGCCGGTGCGGGTGACATCGAAGAGATCATCGCCGGATCAATCTTCTTCGTCGTCATCGGAGAATGGTTGTTCAGGGAAGAGGAGGCGGAAGAAGGTGGTGGCGAAAGTGGAGCCGGTGGTGGTGGTTCCACCTCCTAAGTTGAAGGAAGTAGTAGTAGGAGGAAGAGAGAGTGGATTGGAGACAATACAAATACAATTTGGCCCCAATTATTCCACTTGGTCCATGGCTTCTGAGTTCTGACCAAGGGCTGTTTGGGATTGTGCATATATGATTTTTTGTTGTTTAACTGATCCTTTTCTTGGATCAGAATTTTTTTGTTTTTGTTTTTGTTTTTTTTTTTTGTTCTTACGGAAAACATTTGTACATCTCATGAAAATGAATGATCCTTTTGAGCATTTGAAATGCGATATCTCTCATCATTTTATCTCTGAACAATGTTGCATGTAATTAAAATTTTATTAACGATCTTATTAAAAGTATCAATGTCTAAATATTATTGAAATTTTAAACATTATTATATTTTTAACAAATAATCACATTTGACCATTTGTATTTTTAGTAGGATTGTTAATGCGTAAAATTATTGATTTTGATTTATTATAATGGTATAAAATAATTATAATCCTTCAATTTTCCAATTTAACCACCGCTGAAAACCAAAAATCTCTTTCCCATTGTATATTTAGAAAACAATTTTGAGAAGCAATATTCGAATATTTTCCATTGCTCAGTTTGTAGAAGTTTATCATTGTCGTCTAATTTTTCCTCACTTTTTTTGGGCCGAAGAGTGTAGCACAAAGACAAATACACACAGCACTACTATTGATCAAAACTCACCTAATTGGAATTTACACACCAAGCCACTCCACCAAAATGATATATCAGTAGCACTAATCAATGCAAAGTGCACACGAGGAATTTGTATTTTTGTCCATTAAAAATTTAGTCGGTAAAAGTTTATTTTGAATATGCAAAAGTTATCTGTGATTAATTTTTTTGATCGCTACTTTGGTCACAAATTGAGAGCCGTGAAAAGTAATTAACGACAAAAAAAAAATTTAGTTGAAAAAAAGTTCTATTTGCCGACAAAATTTTTAGTCGCTAAAGATATAATTACTACGACTAATCCATTTAGTAGCTAAAATACTTTGGTCGCAAAAAGTCATATTTTCCCGACCAAGCATGTCAGTTGCCAATTATCACATTCCACACATGTTAGTCGTCATTTGTCACATTAAACGACTAAAACATTTGGTTGGCAATTGTCACATTCCACGACCAAAAAATTTGGTCATCAATTGTCACATTCCACTACCAAACATGTTAGTCACCAAAAAGAATATTTACGCAACTAAAACTTTAATTGGCAATAGACCTATTAGCGACCAAATCCTTTGGTTGCCAAAATTGACAATTTTAAGGACTAAATATTTAATCGCCAAATGTACCATCTCGCCTACCTTATTCAGTCAGCAAAAGTATTACTCATTTTTCTCGACTAATCACTTGGTCGCCAAAAAATGAAAAACAAAATCAAAATTTAGTCACCAACATCCAACAAAATAAACTTATAATTCATAATAATCCATCCAATTCATTCAATATAATATGTAATTTGCAAAAATCATTAAAATCAACTGAATTATCAACATTCGACAAAATACATAAATCATCTAATCCTGAACCTGTTTAATAAAAGTCAACAACTATTATAAATTTTCATCCATAAGTAATTCCAAACTACATATTCCTTCAATTAAAAATCTACTTGTAATCTATATAAAAATTTAAAACATAACAAGTACTTATTATTATGTTTTACGTTTTTATCCATACGCATCTATCAAAAAAATATAATTAGTAGTCTAGTCAAATATTTTTCATACACATCCATCCAAGAATATAACTACTATTCTACCCAAATATATTCCACCAAAACATCTAGTCAAAAATATATAATTCTTCCAAAAATGTAACAAGTGTCCACTGGTCCTATACATTCAAGTTCGTGCACGAGTTCATCCATTTACACCAAAGAAGAAAAAAAAATAATGTCAGGTAATTTTTTATAAAAAATTTACACATCAAATGATTGTAAAATTGGACAAAAAATGAAAAATGTCCAATTTCAATAAAGATAACATGAACAAATTAAATGACTATCAATACCATTTTATAAATAAAACAACAGCATTCATATGTATATATCCAACCAACATTACAATTCTATCAATACAATCATTTCTAATGTTGTTTGTCGTCTACTTTAAATACCAACTGCATTGGCCTCATCCTCGGAGTTTTTCATTTGTGGTCCCCCAAACGGCCCTTTTTTGCATTTTTTCCTCACAATTTTTTTTGTCTAAATCTCTAACTATGCATCCTATTGACACACTGCTTACTCTCACAATTTCTTTAATCTGGGCAGAGGTGACCATTATGATTTCGGGGGTGTTTCGATGCTATTTCTAATTTTTGCCCCCAAACAGCCCGTTTTCGCCTTTTTTCATAACATTTTGTTGTCTACATAACTAACTGTGTCCTATCAACACAACCTTCATATTATAGAGGAGGAAATACATTAAAAATTAAACAAGCTGACGAGACATCATTTAAGAATAAATAAATAATTCAATTTTCAAGCCAATGACTTTAATTTGATTTACCTTAACACAAGAGTATTAAACTAAGATAATTTTCAAGTGTAAACTATCAAGAGACAATTGGAGAAAAAATGACTACATACTTCCAAGAAACTTGTAGACATCTTTCACAAGTGAAGATGCCATATCAAGGAGGTTTAATAACCACAAAGAATGTCCTCACTGATGATCAAAGATGGGAAACCAATTAGTTTATAACTGTCTAGGACAATTGTTAACAGAATAATGTTATGGGCCACATTTCCAAAGAAAAATCCATATCAAATCAACTTTTACAATCACACCACAATGGTTCGTAATTAACATTATTAAGATAGTACGGAACCCCTTTGGTATGTATATGCACTTTGTCAAATGATTTTTTAGAAAAGTTACGATAGTTTGTGATATAAAAATAAAGTTATCTATTTTGTGTAGTAATGTTATATAATTTTTCATTGAAATAATTTTGAACCACAAATTGTCATAACCATAAATTTTATTCATTTTTCTGAATCACAAATTATTTCAACTCTACCAAAAAATTATTTAACATTTACTACGACTAAAATAATGTTACATAACAAAGTGCATATAGTGCATCCAAATTAGATAGGTTTCAACTTAATTCTATAAGCTCAATAAGCAAATTCAGCTAATTTTAAATTAAATATCCAAATAAGCATAACTTGCAACTATAAATACTTACCAAATCATCATAATTAACCCCAAAAAATCTTTTTTTTTTACAGGAATCAGACCATCAATTTCACCAAATCAACACCCCTAAGTTCACAAACTACTTCGCCATTTTTAAGTTAATTTATGAGCCAATTACTAAGTCATTGTCTCTGCCTTACAATCACTAGCCAAAAAGATTTCCCAGTCAACTTAAACACATTCAATTCAAGTAAGATAGGTTTGGAGTAATTGGACTATGGCAAGTGAAATCCATTGGAAGGTGAGATTAAAACCTCAAGTAGGAAGCCAAGTATACAAGTGAATACACGATATACACTTCCCAGTATCCAACTAAGCAAACACCCAGCTCTGTCGATCAAAAAAAAAATCAAAACAAGAAGAACAAATTCAATGAGTTAATTTCACTTTTATTTTATCCCCAAAACTATCACCTCTTTTTTTTTTTCTTTTTTCTTTTTTTTCATCCCTAAACTATTGATTTGATTTATTTAGTCCTTTATAATCTCTGTTCATTAGGTTTGTCCAATTAGAAATGATTGTACAAATCAGTAACCATTAAAGTCCAATTTAATGATTAAAAAGGTAATTTTTTAATTTGGACAATTTAAATCATAATCAAACACCCATTAAATTGGTTGTGAGGTATAATTTGTTCAAAATAGTACGAAAAATGGGTTGTTTTGTAGCATACAAGTTGTTCACATTCTGAATAAACCTTTTCCCATCAAATTAGGATTCAACAATTATTAATTTGAATAAATGTCTTCAATTAGACCAAAATAACATAAATCAGAAACTTTAAAGCAGCATAAATAGAAAAAGAGGGATAATTTAGGGGATAAAAAGTGAAATTAACCTTTCAATGAGAAATAAAATTTGAAATTCATAGATATGAATGTATGTGTATAGTTATAGTGTGTAAGAAAGTCTCACCGGCCAATTGAAGTAAGGAATGAAACTCATGAACAGCAAACCTCGCATCAGTAGAATCGATCAAGGAGTCGCCTTGGTCGTCATCTTCAGAACCGGAAGTGAACGGAAAGAAGACCGAATTGAGAATGCAAGCGCCGATTACAACAGTGAATGTCACGTCTTGAGAGAACTCGGCTCTACAACACGTTCCATTTCTGGTCCTTCTCTATACTCCAAATCACAAAACTTAGGGTTACAAAAACAGACAGCGAGAGAGAGAGAGAGAGAGAGAGGGATTGAAAGGGATTAGCTTACCAGGTAGGGTTTTTTGGGAGGTTTGAGAATGGGTACGAGCAGGGAGGTAGGAAAAATGGAAAAAATGACTAATTCTATTGAATTTGACTAAATTGGTTATATTTGGTCTGTTTTTTAAAAAGAATCGATATGTGCGGTTTTTAAATTTGAATTTTCTTAGTTTTCGGTTCGGTATCAGTTTAAGCACTTTGTGCACCGATCCAAATCGAAACCAACTGCTTCAACATATATTGTATATTTATAATGTATATATATATATATATAATCTAATGATATTAATAAGTATAATAAATTATTAACTTTAATTAATTAATCTTACCATCTTTATAACTTAAGTTTATAAACTCTTATTATATATAATCTTAACTCTAACTCATTATTCTTAAAACTTTAGTATTTTTAAAAAAAAAAATTTGTTTTTATTTTTGTTAATTAAGGAATTAAAAAGTATGTATTACATGGATGGATTGAATATGTATGAAATGGTAGACAAATAACTAATTTAATATTTTTATATAGATTAATGATTATATTTAAAAATAGCTCAAGTTTGAAAAATTCTAAACCGATTAAATTACACCAAACCGAACCGTTTTAATTGGTTCGATTCAGTACGGTTTGATGTGAAAAGCGGTCTGTATCGGTATTCAAAATAATAAAACCGACATTATCAGTTCGATGTAATTTTTTACCTAAATACTGACTGTACCGAACCGATTACATCCCTAATGACACACGTAAGACATATTGTTAATAGTTTAAATATACACAGCGCGTGTATACCTGTCGTTGAATATATTTCACTTTACACAATATGTAATTTCTGCCATAAAATCTATGATCGAAAAAAAAAGTATTGTC